GCTCATTAGCACCTGCTTGGACGGGGAACATTCCCCTAAAATTTCAGCTTCCTAGCATCTTAGAACCCCGAGTTATGAACTTAACGAAAAAAATTTCGGCAGGCTCGTACGGGGGCACCACGCTTACCCGGGGGCTGGGTTTGAGCCCACTAACAGCCGCTTGAGCGGGGAACATTACCCCAAGATTTCAGCCTTCTAGCTTCTCAGATCCTCGAGTCATGAACTGTCCCCAAAACTTTGGCGAGCCCGTACGCGGGCACCACGCGGGTTTTGGCGCCCATTTTGGGGATTGGGGCCGGCCCGTACATGTAGATCAAGTTCCCGAAATTTCAGCCCCGCAGCTTTTATAGGTACTGCGATGAAAGTGCGTGAGAGACGCACACACAGACACACGGATACACAAACAACCTCTCGTCAATATGCGTTTTTCGCATTGCATTGCTGCAAAAAACGCACAAAAATTTATTTCCTGGAAAAACGCAGCAGCGCTAAGCGAAAACTGGTCCGTTTGAGGGGGGACGATTTCGCCACGTGCCCCAAATGAACAAAGGAACGAGGGATTTGACTGTGTGCGTTCTTCACTCGGCGTCCGTTCACGATAGTTATTGCAAGAACGGCACAAAGCGCTTACCTGTCTCATTAGAATATGTAATTTTCAAACAGTCTTACCCCATATTTTACTCTATGACAGAGCTGACAGCACTACGTTGTGAATATTACCCATCAAGCAGTAGAAGTGCTGGTGCTGGCTCAGCTCTTTAAAGATTGCTTAAACGCCCACTCATGGTGGTTTTGGTGGCTCCTTGGCACGCCATAAATACCAGTTTATTCTCAAAGCGAATCAGAGTACAACAGAGCAAACTAGTTTCCTCGCTGACCGGGTTGAACCATCGATTCAAGCACAAAATTAACACTATTCCCCAATTATCACCTGAACCGAAGTCCTCAGCGGCGCCGCGCACCTACAAAATCTGAAAGCCGAAACCCCTCCCCTCCCCAAATTCGCTCTTTTCTATGAGAAGTGGAAGCACTCGGAAAAAGCCCAAAAACCTCTCCCGGGCAAGACTACTGTTGGTTGATGAACCTCTCTTTGGAGGGTTGCTTACGAGCAAACTGATGACTGTTTTGATGACCTGGCCTGTGCAAATACCAATTTATAATGGAACCAGCTGCCTCTTTTATTGGCGGAGTTGAAACCTCAAATACGCTACTTCCCCCACCGCTGTCATACCCGTCAGCTGCAAGATATAGTCGCTTTTTTTAGCAAAAGCTTTAAGATTCTTGACAATCGCTTCTTCATATATCATCAAGAGAGTCCAAAAAGCGGGCAAAAATGAGTGTTTTGCGTTGCGTGCGTGAGTGAGTGTCGGAAGGATTCGTCCATGAAATATTGCTGTACTCTATGAGCAACAAAAACATGTTTCGAACAGATAAAAATAAAAAATGAGACTAAAAGATAAAAAAGTAAAACACAACGATGTAAAAAAAAAGTGGAGAATTTTCTTACTCAAAAAAAGCAAAAAAAAAAAAACATAGATGCTAGGGCAAATCACAACTGATAAAATTCCTACTACTGCTGCTGCCGCTGCTGCCTTTTGCCGCCGCCGCTGCTGCTGCTTGCTGATGCCATCTGAGAGAAGCATATGCATTAAAAGAAGTGATAAGAGAGGCAAAAATACATGGTAATTTATGTTTTTGTGTGTGTAATAATGTTTTCAATGCAAAAATATAAATTAGGATTGCGTTGATGCTGACGGCGGTGATGCCACTGTTCCACTGCTACTCAGAAGAGGTGTTCCAAGCGGCGCATTCAACGCTCCCGTTCCTCCTCCAGCTAAAAAAGCCATTGTAAACATTGTGAAAAAGTACAACGAACACAAAAATAAAACCTCCGTAAATGGACCAACTTTTTTTTTCCTTACGTTAGTTTAACACCTCTAGATTTTTATAAGTAAAAGACCGCACGGGCGGTTTGGGCCCTGTGGGCAGAAGGAATTAGGAGAAGTAAGAGCTGAACCGGTACTGGATGATTCTGAATAGGCCGTCCCTAAGACGGAGTCGATCCAAAATAACTTCATTTATAAGTTTATAAGAAGTTTTTGACTTACATATTTTATACTGGCATGCATTGTACTGAGGTTTTTATTACCAACCCTCGTCTACCACAATGCAGAGATTTCTAGTTGGAATGATCACTTCTTGGTTGGGCCTCCATGGCCCCTTCTTCCTCTTCTATTCCACAGAAACACTAATTTTATTACGACTGATAATGCGAACTTTTTTCTTTTGTATTAAATCTTTAGAAATTTTATTACATCACTAGGAATTCTCACGCAAGAGTTCTTCAAATATCTCTAATATGTCACCATCACCAATTTCGTTTTCTTTTATGCAACTTTTTCCGAAAATTTCATCAATGTCGTATTTCTGGTGGTCAGCCGGCTGATGAATGTAATTTCCATGAAGAACCAGGAAAGGGGAAATGCGCATTTTTCGGGGATTTTGTCAAGAAAAATCCACTGGAAACACAGGTAACGAAAAAAAAAAATGATTAATGGAATAACAAACCGACTTACAGTTATTGACTGTTGCTACACCGTCTTGCTTATTGCGTTTTTCATTTTCAACAACAGGATAAAAATATGGATGTTGCATAGCCTCTTTAGCAGTGAGTCGTTCCTGATGGTCGTAACGAAGAAGTTTGTCCAGAAAATCCAGTGCCTCCGGTGAGACGAGGTGCTGATTCTCACTGTGCACAAAACGTTCCCATCGTTTCTTGGAGTGGCTTAAACAAAGCAAAAAAAATGTAGAAATCAGTAGTACCTCTATGGCCTCAGCAACTCGCAACATCAAACAAATAGCGAAATCGGCTGCAGTAAAGGGGTGCGCAGGACAAAAGAACCGAAATTGTTACGTGCGAACGGTGATACATATTAAGCTGGCCGTGTTAAGGTACCGAAGAAACGTACATGTCTTTTCGAGTTTCAACATAAAAAGTACGGGCCTAAAAGGCCCTGTGAAGTAAACAAGGGGCCGGAACAGCGGCCCAATCAGCGAAGGGTATTAGACGGTAGGGACCGCACCAATCGTGCATGCAATAGGAAAATGCAGGGGTGGGATTAAACCCCGATCGTACCAACG